TGCACCACACGACTTCTTGCAGCACGACATCTACGAGGAGGTGAGAAGACAGAGGAGTTCATCAAACAACTTGACTGTGCGTGGATCAGGAACTTCGGCCCCATGCACATCCTCCAGGTTGATGAACACAGAGCCTGGTCTTCAGACAGCATGCGAGAATGGTGCACCGAGAACGGGATCAACTTGCAGATCAGCCCGGGACAAGCTCATACCAGATTGGCCATCTTGGAGCGACGTCACCAAGTCACCAGAAGGGCCATCACTTTGTTCCTTGAAGGAAATCCTGAGGTGGCCAGATCGGCCGATGCCCTGGTGACGGCGTTGAACTACGTCATCCCGCAGATCAACAGAACCCCAAATGTTTGTGGCTACAGTCCGGTGCAATGGACCTTGGGATATACCCCACACATCCCAGGGATGTTGATGGAAGAGCAGACCTTGAACAACCCGGCTGCCTTGGACCCCTCAGAGGCCTTCATGGAGAAGCTCAAGCTGAAGCAAGAGGCCGTCAAAGCCACAGCTGCTGCCGACACTGACAGGCGACTTCGACGAGCTCTACTACGAAAGTTCATGGGTCAGCAGACCATCTTGAACACGGGCGACTACTGCTACTACTGGAGAGACGCCCCTGCCGGAAGCAATGCCAAGCCTTGGGCTGCCAAGCTTCGCTGGCGTGGCCCCGCTGTGGTCATCATGAGGGAGGCCGGTCCAACTGGGCCAAACTCTGACGTGCTGTGGATTGGTCATGGCACAAACCTCCTGAGAGCCGCCCCCGAGCACGTCAAGTCTGCGAATGTGGCCGTTGACATCACCGAGAAGCCCCGGGACCCCTTGGACGTTGCAAAGAATGCCTTGCACCAGATCAGGAACCGTGGAGTGATGCAGTATGTGGACCTCTCCAAGACGAACAAACGTCGACGAGATGAAGTTGACACAGATGAAGAAGAAGGTGAAGACGACCGTGACCTTGGTCCCTTCCCCGTCCAAAGCCTGCCGGCTGACCGATGGCAAATCAGCGATGATGGCAGAGTTTGGACCAGGATCCACAACACTCCAAGGAGACAACTCTACGTCCCGGAGCCTGAGATGGACATCCCGGTTCACCGCTTCACCAACGAGCGGGTCACTGATGTGCGACGTGGCAGTCCCAACCCCGAGCACATGCGCTTCAGGGACGAATGGAGGGTTCCCAATGCCAACAGGGAGCTCCACTACACATGGACTGGAACCACAACCTTCATGGTGGACATCGACAACATGTCCGATGGCTATGAGCCAACGACACCACTTCACTCCGAGCATGGAGATGAAAACCCTCCTGAAGAAGAACCTTCCTCCTCTGCAAGACCAACAACCACAACTGGCCCTGCCCCTTCAGGAGGCCCTGGGCCGACTTCCTCTACACCAAACACGATGAGTCATGAACTACCAGATCAACCACCAGGTGAACAACAAGAGACACCAGCACTGATGCCGGTGACTTCACCCCACAGTGTGCTGGAGCCTGAGCCCTTTGAGGAGCCAGCTGTGGTGCCTTCAATCACCCAATCACATCTACCAGTACCACCTGAACAACAGAGGCTATACCAAGCTCCAACTGGAGAGAGTTTTGCTGCACAGAGAAACCGCTTCGAGCGGCAGGAGTCCTTGCTCTTCAAGAAGCCTGAGAGCTATGGCCCGGCACGAAGTCACGCCGACCGTGAGACACCCTACTCCAATCGACCACTTGGAGATGATGCCAAAGAGACTGTGGAGTTTGTCTGCGATGTGGACATGGTCGACAAAGGCATGACTTTGCCCCCTGGCTGGACCATTGAAGAGGGCTACATCCAACTTGGAGAAGTACGTGACGAATGGATCATTGAGGGCAACTACTTGACAAGGAAGCACTACCTGGCCAGAGACCAAGAGTTCACACCAACTGTGGACAACTGCCCCATTGACCTCAAGTACCTCACCAAGCAGCGCTACACCAAGTTGCAATCGGGAAGACTGGTCAGAGACAAGTGGACCAGGACTACACCATGTCTACAACTACGTGACGCTGATTGGACTGGCTACACCCGCTTCAAGATCCACACGACCTGGCGCAAGCAGGCCATCCAGGACTTCTACAACAAGAGCAATGGCGCTGAGACCATCTACATGCAGCATGAACCTCTTTCAGAACGAACTATGTCACTGGCAGACCGCTTGGAGTTCCTCAAGGCGAAGGAGAAAGAGCTCACATCTTTCTTCGAGAACGACGTCTGGGTCTTCGACAAGATGAATGACGACAAGAAGCCCAGAACCATCAGAGCGAAGTTCATCCTGAACTGGAAGAAGGATGATTCTGGTGGCAGACGCGCAAAAGCACGTCTGATCTGTCAAGGTTTCCGAGACCCTGATGCTCTCAATGGATCATTGACGACAGCTTCACCGACACTGACGAGGTTGTCTCGGAACATGGTGATGAGCATCAGCGCCATGCTTGACTACGTCGCCTTCACCGCTGACATCACCACGGCCTTCCTTCAAGGCAAGAAGTACGACCCCAACTCTTCACGGGTTATCTGGATCAAGCTGCCCAGAGATGCCGAGCAGATTCTTGGACTTCAAGGAGATCATGGTCAAGTGATGAAACTCACCAAGCCGATGTATGGATTGGTGGACGCTCCGAAAGCCTGGTTTGATGAGGCTGTGACCAGGATCCTCGACTTGGGCAAGGGCACCATCGTGCAGCATCCCTTGGACAGCTGCCTGTTTCTGAAGTTTGACCGCCCGATCCAACCTGGAGTCGATGATCAAGAAGAACCACAACTGCTGGCCATCTTCGGCATTCACGTCGACGACCTCTTCGGCGCCTATGACCAGAAGAATGCCCTCGCTCTGGACTTTGTGGCCGACCTGCAGAAGATCTTCAAGTTCCGAGAGTGGCATGAAGGATCAACCAAGGATGAGTTGACCTACTGCGGCACTCAGATCTGCAAAGCCCCTGAAGGACATTGGAGGATCCATCAAGGCGACTACTTCAAGAAGCAGAAGCCCATCACGATCCCCAAGTCCAAGGAGAACCAGGACACACCTGTGACTGAGAAGGAGAGAACTGCTTTGAGAGGATTGCTTGGAGCTTTGCAGTGGCCTGCGACGCAGACCTCTCCCCACCTGCAATCTACAGTGAGCCTGATGGCTGGATGTGTGACCACCGCTACAACCAAAACTTTGGAAAGTGCCAACAAGGCCTTACGATACGCCAAAGCCAACGCCGATGTCGGTTTGGACTTTCGACATCTTGGACCTCGAGAAGACATGACGTTTGTGGCCTTCTCCGATGCCAGTTTTGGCTGCCGTGCTGACTTGGCAAGTCAGGGAGGCTTTCTCCTGCTCATGGTCAACAAGAATGTGGCCGAGGGGACGGAGGGCTACTACAACATCCTGGACTGGAGGTCATGGAAGTTGGCGAGGATTGCAAGATCCACTTTGGCGGCAGAATCACAGGCCGCATCGGAAGCAGCAGACGCACTGCTGTTCACTTGCACATTCTGGAATTTGGTTTGGAAGCCGTGGCTTCCCTTGGATCGTTTGGAGACAGCCAAGATCAACAACAATCCAAAGCTTGTGGTGGACGCCAAGGCCCTGTATGACATGCTGATCCGCCCTGATGTCCAAGCAACATCCGGATCAGACAAACGCACAACAATAGAAGTCTTGGTGACACAAGACAAACTGAGCTGCTGTGGTGCCGACACTTTGTGGGTGTCATCAGAGCGCCAATACAGCGATGGTCTGACGAAGCAAAGCGCAGCCCAATTGCTTGCAGACCGTATGAGGACCCATTTGGTCAAGCTCAAGAGCGACGAGAACTTTCAAGCGGCAAAACGAAAGGATGCAAAAGAGAGGAAGAAGAGCGCAGAGATGTACGCAGCAAAGAGGCCCGGACGGGCGATGGTAGCAATGTTTGCAACATGCATGGCAAAGGCATGTGCAGCGGAAGAGACCGACATCAAGTACAACCTCACACACCTCACCTACATCGACCTCAACCTCAACATTGTCCACTTTGTCATCCTGACGATCATGGCCATTGTCTTCGGCACGTGGTGGATGACTGGCCGCTGGGCCCCATGGACACCAACAACAAGAGCTCATGCAGAGCCTGACGCTGAAGTCGAACCCCTCCAAGAGGAAAGTAGGCCAGCTGAAGGTGCTGCCCAGACGCCAAGGTTCAGAGAGATTGGTGTAACAACCGATCTGTGGATGGGTGACCTAATGGAGGTGAGAGAGCACCTCGCAAGGTTGGAGGACATCGACCACGACTACATCACCCGTGATGCTCATGATCGAACTGTGGAAGCTTTGGAACGGGATCACCTGCTGGTGGCTCAACATCGATGTCGACACCCAATCTACTTCACTGACTCTGGACGATGCTGGCACGCGAACTACTTCTGCCTGAGACGGCAGGCGAGCACAAGGATCCATCAGCGAGATTACTGCTCCCTTTGCTCCCACGAGCTTGGTGACTGCCTGGTACCTCAAGACTGGGAGCGAACCTTGTGAAGATGCGCTGGTGGACGAAATTCGAGGGCACCTGTCCCATTTCTTTTATTTCAAATGTTCACGATTCTCCACCGGTGTGAATTGTGAGCCTCACAATTGTGTTTAGCACATATCCATGTGCCTTTCTTTTTCCAATTGCCTCTGGTTCAATCCCCATACCAGGGTACTTTAGGGTTTCCCATGGGACTGGCCACTTTGGCTTCGCATCTGCGGCTCCATCCGTGGAAAAGAGCCGCCTGCCTTTTCAACGAGTTGCACTTCGTGTGGCAATCACTGATCGGTTCGAAAGCTACCGCATCAACAATATATATATATATCACAAAAAGCAAGGATGAAAGGAAACCTAGCATGTTTGCAAGAATCTTCCAGAAAAAAAAAACGGAATATGAAAAGATCCCTCCTGTTGTGAAAGCGACCAAGCCGAAGTTATACAATTGGCAACGGCACCTGGGGCACCCAACACTGACATTCTGCACCATCACCCAGTCGGACCAGTCGTCCTTTTGGTAGGGGTTGTAATTGTAATTGTAATTGTATTGGTTGTACCTGCGACGGAATCAGTGGATGCAACTCACTTTGCGGTTTCGTGTGGAAAGTCACATCAAGCAAAGCCCTGATCCACACTATCATCACTATCATCACCATCACCACCACCGCCGCCGCCGCCATCGCCATCATCATCATCATCATCATCATCACCCTCACCCTCACCCTCATCCTCATAATCACCCTCATCCTCATCCTCAACATCGTCAGCATCCTCAACATCGTCAGCATCGTCAGCATCGTCATCATCGTCATCATCATCGTCATCATCGTCATCATCATTGTCATCATCGTCGTCATCACTATCACTGTCACTGTCATTGTCACTGTCACTATCATTCATGTTCATAGACTCCATGATGGTAGCCGCATTGCCATATCTGGCTCTGCCATTGTGGCGCACCCCTGGGTGAAGTAGTCGAAATGCTGGCCTCGTGGCAAAAACGACCACGGTGGGCCTCCTGCGGCTGACGAAACGCTGAGGCCGGGGCACACCACGCCGACCATGCCTATGAAACGGACAGGTGTTCGGATCATGACAGTTTTGGTGTCAGCAATCCTCAAAGTTGCAATTCAAACAAATCTTCGCAATCTCAAATCGACTAATAGAACTGGCAAGAAACCAGGTCGACGCTTGGCATCAGATTTCAATTAGTTTTTCCAAGACGGCATTCCTAGTCTTTCTAGCAGTGCTTCAACAGAGCGGACGCAGCGCCTTCAAGTGTGCCTCACGAATAACCGGCTAGAGTCTAAGCAAGCTGTCGACCGCTAGCTGCAAGAGATAAACGCTTCACAAAGCCTGGACAGGCAAAGATCAAGATCTCAGAATTCAGATCAGTGCTTCATATATCTGCATACATCATACATCTGACAAATTGATGTAGCAATCACATCGCAGAAAACAGCGGAGTGAAGAATTATACCTCTGGCTTTTGTCAAGATTGATACCTGAAGACATTCACCAACATGTCGGAGCTCTTTTTTGGACCATGGGTGCGAACTGCACGGCAGGTTCAACACGAGCCTTGCCAGTGTACAGACTGCAGAACGCGGAGCAATTCGCGACTCCGAGATTTTTGCCAGAGTCGACTAAGATTTAGCCGAGAATTTGAAAGCTGTCAGCTATCAAATCAATGACACAAAGCTGCCGCTTCCATTTCAAGGTTCAGTTTTGGGACGGTTTGGAGAGGCTAGCATGCGGAGCTATGGCTGCCTCTGAAACTAAATCGGAAGTCTTAACTTCCTTGGGACAGTCCACAACTTTCTGCTCCCAGCTAGCCCGGTGGGAAGCTCCCTGTTAAAAAGAAATGACTTGGAGAATGTACTTCAGGGTGTGGCAGGCTCACTACTCATGCTTCCGCTTGACATGGTGAAGAGGTGGCAATAGAAGACAAAGCTCACGTACACCATGGCAATGAAAATGGTAAAGATGTAGCCCATATGGGTGGCCTTGCTGTGGTACTTCTTGGGGATTTCCAAAGCTGGTGCTGGCACAACCTTCTGCCATCCCAAGCACATGTGGGTGCTGAAGATGATGACAGCTGCCAAGTAAAAGAGACACCAGCCTAGAGACTGGAAGACTTCGAACTCCATCTTGTAGATGTCTCGGACATACACTGCCTCGCAGCCAGGATCATCCACCCAGAAAAGGTTCAATCGCAACTGGAGAAGGGTCTTCAAATTCAGCAGGTAAGGAGGTGGGCACAGCTTGAACGGCTCAGTGGCGCCGAAGCGGAACCTTAACAAGTCCAGAACAAAAGCGAGTCTGTGACCACAAATATGCCGAGTAAATGTATATGATTATCACATTACACCACTCATACACCAAACATATGAGAGATTCTGATTCATGTTAAAACCTCGACTGTCGTTGTTTTTTGTTCTGGTCCAGGAGCTGGTACAGGTGGATCATCATGAAGGTCAACAAGGTGATGCCTGAAAATGCCAGATTCAACTTGCCTGAAGCCACTGAGTAGCTCATGCTAATGTCCCAGGTTCGCTTCAGAGCAACAACCACGTGCAACACTGCGGCCAACAAAATGTATTCCTCCACAATGTTGGCGTTGAGACCAAATCCAGTCCAGTACAGCCTCACGTAGAAGTATCCGTATCCGTTGAAGTCATCCGGTCCCAGGAAAACATGCAAGTTTCCCACTGCGTGGATGATGATGAAAACGAAGAGGAACATGGCCGAGCGAGTCAGTCCGACACGGTCACCGTTAAATGTCACGTTCTTCTGTGGCACAATGGTGAAAAGGATCTCCTTCAGGAATCCGAGGACCATGTAGAAAACTGCACCCCACCAGCCTGGGATCTTACCCTCTCCCTTCATCCGCATCTCGCGATTCTTTTCTGAGCGAGACCAATCCTTTCCCTGCAGGCGAGCACACCACAAGTGCAACAAATGGACTGTATCCTATAAAACAGAGGCCACAACGAGCCTGTACCATGTTCCGACAAGAACAACAAACTGATGTGACAGTCCATACCCGTCCTGGTGCCCACCCTTGGCCAACAATGGCTCGGCTAAGCCACCATTGGCTGCTGGGGCTGCAGCAGGCGCGCGGCTGCCAACTTTGCCGATGACGGAGTCTGGGGCATACTTGCCAATGACATCTGGAGGATGGATCCTCAGAACATTCACGTGGCAGCTTCATGCTCAATGCTATGAAAACGTCAATGCATCTGATGATTTCGCATATGCATTCCAATCCTTGGAAGGTCACAATCCAAGCCTAAGCCCAGGACATGTTGAACTCCTCGGTGGCATCCTTTCCTCAAATGCCGGACGTTCGCCCCAAAACACAATCCTTGAAGGGTATCCGGTATCGGTATCACCTGCTTTTAAGCCATCCGCAAGACTTAGATGAATCAATCCATATAAAAAGATTGACATATACATATTACCTATTACATGTGTAGATGTGTATAGATATAATCATCATCAAATAGATAAATCATGATAAATCATTGAAATCATGATACCAGTATAACTAAACCACAAGACCTGGATGCACTTCCCTTTTTTTGCCCATTTCGCCCAGCATGGTTCCAATTGGTTCCCAGCATCCAGCAAAGGTCAAAATCGCCAACTCTCCGCCTGGATGCTCCGACAAGAAGCTTGTCACGTCCAACACCTGGTGCCGTGACAAGTTTGGGATGATTTTAGGGCCCAAACCATGCCGAGCAGTTTCGACAAAAACTGGTGGATGACTTCTCGGGCGATACTACATTATCCGATATATTGGCGATTTGTTTCTGTTTCTGCCAATCATTTTCCCCACAAAAATCCGGAATGTCCAGTGCCGTGATTCGCAGGGATGGTTCCCAAGATCCCGATGGTCGTGGTGGAGCTAACCATCTTAGGGAATCACGAGCTGCGCACCTGGCCATCAACCACCACCTGGGCACGATCTGGTTGCGCGGATTGTGGATGTGCGGATGGTTCACCATTGGCACAATTGAAGAGTTTCATATGGCCAGAGCACTTGTGCACTTTGTCTGGATTATCCTCTAATGACCAGACTCTAGAAATCTTCAAAGCCAAACTCCAAGGACCAGACAAGCACAAAAGCATGCTGCCTCTGACTGAGCTTTCTTGTAGGGGGTTTACCCTTGCTCTAGCATTCAGATTGGTTCATCATAATTGCTTTCATCCCAAAGTTGGTGCCAACAGCACGAGCCAAAAAATGCCAGCACCACCCAAACTTGAACCAAGCCACCCAGCAATCGCTCTTGCTGTTGTGCTTGGCCACTTCTGCCATGGAAATACCTCCGCCACCACCGCCCGCAGGCGCCCCTGCCATGACGGCGCCACCACCTCCGCCGCCGCCGATCATGCCGATCACGGAGTCCGGAGCGTATTTGCCAATCACATCTGGGGGATGGATCCTTTGTGAGACGGAAGAAAGATGAACAAAGCACCAGACACAAGTATATAAATGAAGGAAGAAGACATCGAAAGTACAAAGACTCTTGGCAAGACTCGGCAAGACTACACACACTTCCCTGTCAATTCATCCAAGTCTCATGTTGAATTCCTCTGTGGCATCCTTGCCAGCAAAGGTCAAGATTGCAAGCTCACCACCGGGATGCTCGGACAAGAAGGAAGTCACATCAAGCACCTGTCCATCTACCACAACCCAGCAGTCAGCCTTGGTGTTGTGCTTGGCCACATCAGCCAAGCTGATGCCACCTCCACCACCACCGCCTGCAGCTGGTGCAGCAGCCGCAGCAGCAGGAACTGCTGCAGAGTTCATCTTGTCCTCGTACGAGCCACCTGCCAACTTGGAGCTCTCCACTGCTCCTGTGAGGCCTCCACCAGTCACTTCTCGAAGGTCCACATCTTTCATGTCTGCACCCAACATGTACTTGGCCGCTGCCTTGCCGGCAACACGGCCAAACACCACGCAATCCAACAAGGAGTTGCCGCCCAAACGGTTGTTGCCATGGACTCCTCCTGCAACCTCACCTGCTGCATACAAACCAGGAATTGCCAGATTGTTGGAGCCAATGCAGGCCGAATCTGTGTCAATCAGCAAGCCGCCCATGCAGTAGTGAATGACAGGAGTGATGATCGCAACGTAAAACGGCTCACTCTTCACAGCTGAACCTGGAATGATGTTGTGATAGAATTTCTTGCCACTTCCAGTCATTCCACTGGGCTCATCCCAGGATTTTCCTGACGGATAAGCAGGCCAAGAGCCGCCATCCGGATCTTTTTCCGTCTTCTTGGCGGCTTGATAGTGCTGCTCATGGGTCTGTTCAATCACGTCCAGTGCCACGCCCATGTCCTTGGCAAGGTCCTGACCAGTGGCGTAGTACTTCATCACCTCACCAGCATGTTGCCCCATTGAAACCGCCATAACTTCGGTCACAAACACCACAGATTTGAACAAATTCCTAACCGTTGGCTAAATCCCCACAATTGTATGTTTCAATACCCGTAGTTTTCATCTTCAGACCCTACTTTTTACCACGTGTTTCGCCATTTCCTGGTTGTTTACACCCTTACCCGACTGAATCCGTAACAACTTGGCTAAGGGACACCACGACCTGTGTAGTGCCTCGGTGGCCGAACGGTTTCCGAAGGCTTTCTTTCAGATTGTCAAATCGTATCATAATTAGATGTGTATATAATATATATATATATATATACGGAGCTCTGGGCTGTCGGACTTGCAGTGCCAAATGATTTCATCCGAAGCGGCACGGTTCAGGCACAGCCTGGCACGGCCGCAAATGGCGAGTCACTGCCAGTCGCACGTGAGGTTATCCAGGTGTATTGTATTGGATAAAACGAAACAAAATAAAGAAATAAAAGAAATAAAAAATGGTGGAGTGTAACCACGGCAAATTAGAACCAATTACTACGTAATGACTTGATTTGAGAGCAAATCCACAGAAAACCTACGGCTTCTTGCCATCAAAGCCAGCAAGATCTGTCAATTTTCCCTTAGTTTTTGTAGTACCCACAAACGTGCTGATTTGCTACTCTAGTACAGTAGATGACCCAAATGATTCAAATGACCAATCCCACACTGCACCTGAAAGGAGGTTTGCTCTTCCACATCTCTCCAGTGACGTAGTCACGGCCTTGGCATTGGCATCAGGTGTAACAACTACCCTCTGGTAAACTAACATAGCTATTGAAAATGGTCATTTATAGTGAGTTTTCCCATGAAATATGGTGATTTTCCATAGTTATGTTAGTTTACCAGAGGGTAAGTGCCCCCTAAGGGCACCCTAAACCCAAAACTCTTCCTAGCTCCAA